TTACATCAGTTTAACAGCTGAATGAAACTGATTTTCAGAGACTCTACGCACACAGTACTCTGTACAGCAAATGTTTTTCAAAAATGAGCAGTTTAGAAATAAATATTTGTTCTGCATTAATAGCTGACTTACTGAATCAGCAAAAGGCTGTTAAATAGTGAAGAACGCCATCTGCAATAACTGCATTGTTTCAGCACAAGTTTTCCACCAAAATGTGACATACTGATATATTCGTAGCTGTAAGAAATACATTAGATAGATCTATTCTTTATATGTTGACTGTCATCTAAACAGATACCAAAGCATTAGCTATGCTTGAATTCCTGTACCTACAAGAATCATTTCACTCATGTGAAACAAGCTAAAATTTACTGCAGCATAAATGTACTTTGTGGCGTTTGATCTCTGCAACCCGAATTTCTTGACTTCTGTGCTCTCTGTGGGATCACTCTGCAGCTCCCTTCCTGCCTGCCTGCCTAAGCTCCCTTCTCATGGAAATTAAAGCACAGTAGAAAAGAATGCATTTGCAGAGCTCATCCAAGAGAAAGTCGGAGTGTCACCAGGGCACACACCTGGGACTAGGAGGTGAAAAATGAATTTGGATTACATAGCATAGGCATAGCCAATGTTTAGTACAAGGCATGACAAAGATTTCATAACAAGTCACTTGGGACAGGAAGGATTCCCTAACAATTTAAATTAGAGGAGGATGCGAAGAGTTTGCAACTACCCAAGCTGGAACTTGTATTTTAAGTGAGAGCTTTCTAAATTTGACTTCAGAAGAAAAAGAAACTTATCCTCTAGCCCAGTGTCATTGCTGCTCTGCCTAAAAACAGGTAGTAATACTTGATCAGAAAAAAACATCAATCTTCTGACTTAAGAATTTTGTGCAAGAAAGCAAATCTGACTGGCAGGAAGATGTTTCCACAGGAAGATATTTCCCCAGGAAGTCTGACTACCTGTAATTTCCAGCAAAGAAGACTGAGAATCCTATTTATCTGTCACTGCAGTTAGAGCCATCATAGTATTTCTTTGACTCTTCATGGTAAAAGGTAAACTTCAGAAAATTGTATTTCTATACAACCTACAGACATACTGTCACAGGCCAGCCAGTAAATCTAGGCAGTCCTTCAGGAAAGAGTAGCTTACTAAGAAAACCAGCAATAGCAACAAAAATATTTTTGTGTGACCCAGGACAGCTTGCTTGTATGTATCCGTAGTCTAAGTAGAAATGTGGAACCAGCTGTGTTTTCATTTCTTCAGTGAAACAAAACCTTTCTTCTAGACAGAATTGAAATTTTCTTTGCAAATAAACATTTTTTGGTGAAAATGTATACTTTACTCCCGATACTCAGATCTCGCTGACCAAAGCTGTGTGAAAGCAAGAATATGACATGTATTCTTTGGAAAGGACAAGATAAGCGGGTGTCTTTCAGTGGAAAAGAGAGAAGAAAAAAACTTTTTAATACTGGTGCCCTTCTGAAGTTCAGTGTATGTCCAAATACCACTGTCCTGAGAAGGGTGTTTATGAGTCTTAAGGATAAGTAATATCTGAGATGATTTAACAACGTCCAGAAAAGGATAAATTGAGTTAGATGCGGATAAGTCATTGAAAACTCTTCTGAAATTGATATAATTTCAATAAAAGGTCCAGAAGATCCCTTCAGGCACACCATGAGTAGTATGTTTTCCAGTTTTCAACTCTCTATAGGAAGAACAAGTGAAGCAATACAAGAATACTAACCAGGTAGAAGTTAGAGCCCAAACCCACAGTTAAGTTGGGATGTATTTTAGACAGTGCAAAATTAAATTAACTCTCCAGTTTGCAGCACACCTTTTGGCACTTAGATTGAGTTTAGAAGGTTCTTCAGAAGATTTATGGTATGATACAATTTTTTTTTTAAGGTTTTCATGTGCTCATCTACATCCAAAAATCATCCTTGCTCTGCAAAGCCTCATTTGACTACAAGTGACACAGATCAAGTGGCTGTCACTTTTCTGTGTCATGTGCACCTCCCCTGCACAGGAATGGAAAGCTATTGTGCTCCTCTCATCAGTCTCCAGTATTTGTCATTGAATGGCAATACTGAATATGTATCATTTAAGGGGTGGAGTTTAAATTACAATCACAAACTAGAAATGTGATTAAAAAAAATAAAGTTACAAAGGAAAATGTTACACTTAAGGAGCAACTGAGTTAGCTTGTGCCTTCAGTGAAGGCACAAGAGTTTGGCTGTATTTCTCCTGTGTTCAGTAACCCACAGAGTAGAGGTGAACTGAGCCAGGGAGCCAGTGAATAATCTGGTTGACCAGCTTGGATTCAAAAGCTGCAAACCAAAATGTGCATTGTAGTATATCCACATTAATATTATTTTTGGATAAATAATGGATTACTAACTGAAGGGGACAGCTTCAGTACCATTTGGGCTGCAACAAATTTTGCATGGACCACATAAGCAAGTGCAGTGCCAACAGCTGAAGGGAGGCAGCACTGGTCAAACAGTTCTGAAGCACAAGATCTGTGGCAGAAGTGCCTTCCAACCTCAGTTTGCAGTTCTGTGCTCTGCCAGCACCTCCAGTCCCACAGTGCTGTTATCTAAAGCCAAGCAGGCTAAGCCATAGTTGTTCACCTCCCCAGCTCTGGGCTTCAGCTTTCTGTTCTTTCTCTCAGTTAGTATCAGAAATTTCAGTTGCCATGGAGGAGGTGATAAATTTGGGAGAGGCTTCTTCAAAGATGTAATTTTAAGAACTTGGTTTAAATACAGCAGATAACAGTAAATGGCAGTTTAGAGGTGCTAATTATGCTCTGAACGATGATGCCCATCTATTTGATTCTACTTAGCATCATTACAGCTACTGTTTACATTTCAATGTTCAGAATTTAATTTAAAAAAGGAATTGAAGAAATTGCAGCCATTTTGAAGTATAACAGAAAAGTTTCTTTATGCAAAGTTTTGTTTTTGTAGATCTTACAAAATAAATTTATCAAGTCTAATTTTGTTTAAAGAACTAACCATTCAATGACTAAAGGAAAAAAGATACTGTCCTAGATTAATATTTCAATTAATATAACTTGAAAAACAATTTTCTTCTTCCAAATCCTCACTGCAAAGATCTGACTCATCAGTCTTCTCTTAGTCCCACATAATGCAAGTTTGCAAGTCTTTACTGGTGTACACACAGAGACTGGTGCAACAGGGGTGAACAGCAGCATTTCAAGGGCACAAGAAGACCCACACGTGCTTGTCTCACCAAACCCACCTTTCTTACACCAGGCACAACAGGTTTATACTGCAGTGATCGTCATCTCTGAATTTGCATTGCACTGAATCTCTTTTGGTACATGGTAATGGAAATCATTTGTATCAGCTGCTTACAGCAAAAGCTGGTTCCCCAGGATCAGGAAGCTGACACTGAGCAGGAGGGCATTTGCAAATGAGAGCAAACATTGGCATGACTTTACCTTGTCATGAGACTACCCTTTGTTTCTAGAGGCGAGAAACACTATCAATGCACTATTTATTAACTCAGTAATTTTATCAGGTACAGTATTTCCCAGCGTAGTAAGCATTCAACTAAGCTTCATCTCGCTTGTTGATAACTGCAGAAATAGCAAGAAAATGGGCTTTGGCAGATTATTTTCTGCTGACTGACTAACTGGTTGTTGAAGGAATTCATCAGTTGTTTTATTGCAGCTGTCAGGTCTGTCCTCTGTCAACACAGCAGGGAGGGAAGAACAGTGTGACGCAGACATAGTTATGAAACCGTTTTTCAGTTCTGATAGCCAAGAAGGCAAAAAATCATCCACACCTAGAGATCTGGTACCTCTCTCATGTACAGGTGATGGGCTCAAAACCAAGAGATACGCCAGCTTTATTTTTGTTGATTTCAGCTCTGTCTTCAGCACGAGCTTGTTAAGGTACAAGAGATGATTCCCTTTGGTTTTCTGTGGGTATGGAGCTCCCAAAAACCATCCTTCAGTGCACCTTGGCTGTTTTTGTTGGTGAAATCTATTTGCTCCCGTGTGACTTTGTAGAGCAATAATCCTGCTGGAAGGCTGGTCTGTGATTACTGTCAGCCCATGATTAACATTTCCAACCTGGGCTTCTAGGACTCCATTGGTGATTTCAAAACTGTGAAGCTGCGCTTCATTGCTGACAAGAGTCAAGAGTAGGATTTTAGACCTGGGTAGCTCTATAAAAAGCATACGATGAATTTGTGTTCTAAATCAAGCTTCACTTGGCATGCCACTATTCTGAAATCATTTTAATTATTCTTTTACCTGCTTAGTTCTATTGGGAAAGGTACTGTTTCCCTTCCTCGTCTGTGGGGAAGTCTCTGAACTCTCAGGACGTGCTGGAGACACAACAGCACACCAATGTGGTTAAAAGCTGTTAGTCTCCAGAGCGTCCTGAGAGTCCAGAGACTTCCCCACCCTCCTCACTTAACTGTTAGTTACAATCCTCGCACATCAAAGCTACAGTGAAAATGTGCATATTGTATATACATAAAGATACAGACTGTTGCCAGCAACAAGTAATTCTAAGCTCTGCCAGCAAACTGGGAACAAAGATGGTAGCACCCGTTTGTCACAGCGCTCAGAAAGACACTTGTGTGGAAAAGACCATAGAATGACAGAATGAATCACAGAACGGCCTGGGTTGGAAAGAACCGCAGCGCTCATCCCGTTCCAACCCCCTGCTGTGTGCGGGGTCGCCAACCAGCAGCCCAGGCTGCCCAGAGCCACCTCCAGCCTGGCCAATAGTCGCAGCTTCCCGCCACCTCCTACTCCGCTGCAGCCCGCGGCCGGGAGCTCCGCGCAGCCGGACGTTTCTCCCCTCGCCGCCGCCAAAGGCCGAGGCTCGCGGCTCTGGGGCCGCACGCGTCCCCTCGGCCCGCCACCGCCCCCGACGCGGCTCGGGGCCGCCCGGCCCGCCCTGATTGGGCCCGCGGGGAGGCCCCACCCGCAGGGCCTCCACCCCCCCCCCGCCCAGCTCCCCCCGCCCGGGCCGGCCTCGCGCCGCGCTGCGCCCGCTCCCCAAATACATCTTGGCGGCGCCGGGGAGCGCAGCGGAGCCGTGCCCGGAGCCCTCCGCGGGGCCGCGGGCAGCCCTCGCGCCATGGTGAGTTAGCGGCGGCGCGGCGCGGCGCGGGGAGCGGCGGGAACCCTGGACAGCGCTGGGACGGGGCGCTGAGGGACGGGGACCCGGAACGGCTGGGCCGGGGGGTCGGGCGGGAGGCTGGAGCCGAGCCCCCGCAGCGTGGGGGCGCGGGGAGCCCCGCGGCCAGGCGTGGGCTCGCAGGGTTCGTCCCCTGGCTCGAGCCGCGGGGGCCTTTGTGCATTGTGCGGGTTTGTAAGAATCCGCCGGCTGCCGGTGCCCGCGGGGCTAATTGCAGCCGTTCGGACTGGCTGCGCTGCCGCACAGTTAGGAGAGCTCTCTTGTCTCGTTCGCAGCGCGATTCACATTGTTGCACTTCACGAATCCGACACGAGCCTGACGTCTAATCACGCGCTTAAACCCGAACAATAACTTCGCTTTTGCATTTCTTTCTTTTTGTTGTATTCCTCAGGATTGGCAGTTCACGTTTTGCGGTCGATTTCTGTAGCTTAAGTATTTTTCCTACTTCTTCGGGGCTTGGGAGTGGCTCGAGCTATAGCTGTTTCTGTGGCTCAGGCTCAGTGAACGTGACCAGTAGCCCGTGGCCAGTAGTCCCTTTGTATATATATACATACACATAAAATCGGCTACTGACATTTGTGATGCTTGAGAAGTTTTTCTCTCAAATGCGAAGGAATACCTTTACCTATCATTTGTACTTTCTCCTGCTTCATGCAGCGCTACTCCCACAACGGGTCTGTTTTTCAGAGCTGGTTGCTTCTGCTGTGCACGCTGGGAGGTGGCTGAATTACGTACAAAAGATGAGTGGACAGGAAAAATAAAAAAAAAATAAGTCCTGTGTAAAGATGAGATATTGATATTGCCTATTGGTATCGCTGTATTGGTGTGAAATGAACTGGTTTGGGATGCTGTCTTGAGCTCAGTCACTTCCACTGGAACGTGGATTACAATGTGCCATGTACAGGTTGGTCTGAAGAGATGTGGTGTAACTTTGAAATATTAGTAGGGAAAAAGACGTTTTTGCTCACCCAGATTTTCAATCGTAAAGTCTCAGTCTGCAGTGGTAATGGAGCAGTTATTCATGAGTGTAAACTGCAACAAAACAAGTGCAAGTGTTCAGTTATCTTGCTGTTAGAGTATTACGTATTTGGAAATGGCATAATCTTTTAGATTTTCCTAAGGCAGGATTCCCAATGAAGCCAAGATCCCTTTTCATGTAGTTAAGATAGCTTGTTTCCAAATTGCAGAAAGTAGAAGCAAGGTAATATATTCTTCAAATCACATAAATAGATCCACTCCTGTCTAGCATTAGGAGCAAAAGGTGGTGACAGCCCACACTAGACAGAGATTCCAGTAGCAGGCTGTTTTACATAGTTAATCAGAAAATTTAGGCAATTGAAGCAACCAAGGAACATGTGAAAATGTTACAAATGGGGTGTTCTCTTCACTGTGAAGTTTCTTGCTTGGATTGTGTTGCTCTCTCACTACATCTGAATGTACACTCATAGCTCTGATGAGTACTCTTTTGCTTTGCCAATAGCAAGAACCTTAAATGAACTAGATGATTTTAAGGAAGCATGAGAAGTACTATAATGGTGATGTAAAAGATTTCACACTGCACGTTCTCAGAAGAGAAAAGCAATTGCTGATATCATGCTGATCCAAATTATCCAGGAAAAGTAAGAAAAGAGAAAGGAAATCATATCTTGAGATCTCTTGTTTTTGTTTGTTTTGTGGAATTATGTAGCCTACAGCTCTCATGACTCATGGCAGTGCAAGATTATGAGGCAAACACAGCAGGAGAAACTGAATTTAGTTCTACAGTGTTATTTTTAATCCTCTTTTTTGCCATAGCCAACAAAATTGTTCACTGTCCCTTGTCCCATTGGTTCAGTTTCCTGTCTTAGCATCCAGTAGATAGAGAACTATGAAATGAAAAGAAAAATGAGAAGTCAAGGCTGGTGTTCATGTTGTGTCCATAGAAGCAAGTACTAAAGTCATGTGTGTTTGTCTTATTCTGGTGAATGTCTATTTAAAAATATGTCCATAACCACTCTGTGACACTGCGTTTCAGAACAGATCCCCTAGTGAAATCAAAACATAAATAAGAATTTATCAAAAAATGCTCAGCACATCAGTAATGATCAAAACCTGGCTATGTCATATAATAAAAGATTATGTCACAGCCACCATGAAGATGATTGATGTCTGAAATTCTAAACTAACATTGAGAAGCAAAGGAAGCAGCCCAAGAACTCAAGGTAGATTCTGTAGAAAATTAAGCTATTTTTCCTTTTAATTGAAATAATCTATTACACCAAAATATGTTGTGAATTATGTTAAAAATAATAATAATAATAAAAAAGAATATTGAGCACTGCATTAACCAGATGTCATATTCTAAGGTATAAGCATGGAAATATGTCTTACAAAGTACTTGGCCACTTTTTCTATCTACTCCGTAGACAACCAGGTTTGCATTTTTTGTATAAACTTATTTAGTGAAGAAAACTTCGGTATAGTTTTAAAAAAATATTTTAGAATAGTTATCAGAAACTACAGAATATACTTTAAGGACAATTTTTTTTTTTACTATTTTATGATGATATCTAGAAATCATAGTTTCACCTTGTCTGTTTCATTAATAACTAGAAATTATGCTATCTGGAGCCTGCATTAGAGTTTCTTTGCTGAGTTCCTTGTGCACTTTGGGCTATTTCCTTTTTTAATGTCTTCGTGGGTTTATTAAACTTTGCTGCATTTATTTAGTTGCCTCGCATTTCAGTTAAGTTTTTTAGCCCTTGAAGTTTAAATTGAGTCAAGTCTCACATTTGACATTACTTTGAATGTTACTTTCATCAGGCTTTGAGCATCCGAGCTGTATATATACTATGTATTCTGTAGGTCTTCCATGACTAGTTGTATCAGTTGTTAGAGAGTCAAGTTTATCTTATCATTGTTCAGGGATAAGTCTTTGTACAAGAAAGAAACACTATTCAGGACAGAGTATTAATATGTGTTCCGTTTTAAAATGTCAGTAGGATTTTTCCTAATGGAGATGGGAAAATTTGCTAGAAACAGCAGGTTTTTTATTACATTTCTGCTTATTGATCTATGAATCAATTGAAATATCTTGTTAATATCTTTAAAGAATCTTTTAACTTGTAACAAAATGCTATTCATTTGGTAGCATCCTGAATTTTTTTCAATTCTTAGGTTGTCAGGTGATGTCACTGCTCAATTAGTAATAGTGTTTCCTAGTTAGTTTAGTTCATTTATGCCCTATAGTTCACAGAGTATCCTTATTTATTTTTGTAGATATGGGGTTCAGAGCAATCTGACTTCTACTCTCATTTTATTTCTTTATTGAGTTGTCTTTATTCATTATTTGTTGAGGAGTGCAGATTCCATTGCTGTCAGTTTTTCTGCTGCTTCATCACCTAATTCGGAGCAAAGATGTTCTCTAGGAATTAATTTTAGTTCACTGGAGGGAGGTCTCGCTGTGTCCTCTTCACTGCTGCAGACCCCAAATAAATTTGAGGTGTAGCTCTTCCAGAGGCTTTCAGTCTGTGAGACAACTTCACTTTATCTCATAAAGTGTAGTTTTATGGGATACACTTATTTTTCATTTATATTTCTTATGACGTGGTAGTTTGGTTAAATGGAATCAATGCCCCTGCTAAGATTACAGCTTTCATGTTTAAGTGCAGAGTAGTCCAGCACTCTCATTTACTGAAATGCCCCCTTCATGCTTCAGACTCTCAAGGCTGCTTTGAGGAACTCTCCCTGCTTCTTGAACCTGGCAGCATTATCATTACTCTCCATTTCATGATTCTTGATTTACAGACATTATTCTCGTTGCTCTAACTCTTTTAATTAGTTCCTTTGTGTTTCTTAAAGCTAATCCACGAATTGATTCTCTTCTTGCATATTCATTCCAGAAGTAGCTGTTCCAAGAGAATGGTGCCCTGCAAGAAAAAGCATTCAGACAAATGCAAATCAGCACCAGTAGGCTGTTTTCCCACAGGCAACATGCTGAACCTAGCTGATAAGCAAGCAGTAACCTCACATATTATGTCTGAGAGGGCACTTCTTTCACCATCCCCATTTTGACTGTACCTCTCCCTGTGCAGAGAATACTGTGCTCTCCCTGCTCGAGAGCCAGATATTTTTTCTCTGCCTTTGGGCAAGGGGAAAAATACCTGAAGGAATACACCACAGCATGTGTCTGTGGGGCACAGGGCAGCCTGAAGCTGTCCCTTGGGACTGTTTGCCTGTGACTTGCACTTTATGCGTGGCTATGCCCATTGATTGTTTCAGCTAAGTCCATATAGAAAATAGGTCAGCCATGCAGCGGCTCAGGAATAGAGCTTTAATTGTGTGGGCTGTAATATAGAAAGCAGGGTGTGTGCATTATCATGGAAGAGGCTGGAGACAGTTCCAAAGATTTTATCAAGTACCGTGGAATCTAGCCCTTAGACAGCTATTTGTATTATAGAGTTACAGGGAATATTCCATGCAAGTCATCCAACTGTTTCAGTGTGAGTAAAAAATTCTTACTGTAAAGCAATGTGTTAAAATCTTTGTTTTCCCCCACAAATGGAAATTGAAACAAACATACACTTATGAAGTGAACCTCTTCCTTAGCCCCATTCTAAGATATTCAGACTGAAAATAAATCAGTCTTTTGGAGAAATGATATTCTGTGGGGATCCTGCTGGTGGTTTTAGTGCAGTTTAATTCTAGAATGTCATGGATTCCAGAGGGTGCAGTAAAAGACAGTTCCTGTGATGCCACACACAGTGATTGCTGCTGAACTCTCCACTTTTAATCAGCAATAGTGCAGTTTTTGAGATCCCAGGAACAGGTGTTTTTTTTTTTAGAACTGTCTTTCTAATACTGTTTGAGGTAAACATGTTTAATTTCATTTTAACCTTGCATTTCACTTGGTGCTTGATACAGATGGAAACTGACAAAAGCTGTTCAAGGAGAGTGGATTTCTC